CAATAGCAACCACAGCTCCAAGGACAACCAGGCCAGCATGATTCCCACAACGTAGATGATGAGCTGAGGACGTGGCTCTGGAAACAAAAGGCAAGCGAGGTTCAGGCCCTTGACCCTGCAGAGAACAGCTCCTTCTTTCACTGACAAGCATCTCTGTGCCCTCATCTCCTTACCCCATCTCACAGTGAGGGGCTCAGGCAGCCCCTCATGATGCACATGGCATGTGTATCTCTGCTCCTCCCCAGCAGGCACCACCACAGCTGCCCACTTCTGGAAAGTTCCATCTCCTGCAGGCCTGGTCTCCACAAGTTCCATGTCCTGGGTGTGATCTTCCCCATCCCTCTGCCAAATCAAGGTGATCTCCTTCAGGTAGAAGCCCATGGCCCATCACCTCAGGGTGCTGACATCTCCTTCAACTCTGGGATGGTGGGTCATATATGTCTTTGGGGGATCTGAAGGGTAAAGTTCAAAATTCAACCATTTTGCATTCTTTGTGGGCCATTCCAGCCTTATTCATGTGACCTTACTAAAAGGACACTAACGCAGCCACAGATTATCTGGGATAATCTATTCATTGTTCTAGACTCAGGGTGAGCCAACTCATGGTAGAAGACTCCAGATTTCTGTGGGAAAGAAAAAGAACTACTGGTCCTGACTGAGTGGAGACTGAGAGACTCAAAATAACTGCAATCAGACCTCCAAAGACATTGGGTTTGGGGCAGGGAACAAGACCTGGTACAGGTCATGGTTCACAATCTGCTGCCCCAGTCAAAGAGGACTCAGCTATTTTGGGGATCTTCTCTCCTTCCATTCTGAGACAGGTTCTTAATTGTCCTCAGAGCGGTCCCTCCAGCGAATTACTATCTAGTATTGGATATGAAAACCCAGGAACAGTTTTCCGGGTTCCAAAGCAAAAGAAAGTGGCAGTATTTTGGAGATGATCCCATTTTCCTCTCCTCAGCGGGAGATGTCGGTCCCAATCCCAGGACAGATGGGGAGGTTCCCCGAGGTCCCTTGCACCTTTGCGCAGCAACTTCTCCTTCCCGTTCTCCAGGTATTTGCCAAGCCACTCCACGCAAGGGCCCTCCAGGTAGGCTTTCCATGGCTCGGAGGCACCAGCCGCCTCCCACTTGCGCCGGGTGGCCTGAGCCACCGAATTCGCTGCAGTCCAGGAGCTCAGGTCCTCCTTCAGGGCTATGTAATCCGTGCCGTCGTAGGCATCCTGACGGTACCCGCGGAGCAGGCATCCATGTCACAACCAGAAGAGATCTGGAGGGTGAGGGAGCCCGGCCCCTCCCCCGAGGTCAGTCCCGTCCACCAGGCCCCGCCCCCCCCATCAGACTAAGCCGCCAGGATTTTTACTAAAACTGAAAACGAAACCCGGTTAACACTTCCTGGTTCCAGGGTCTCCGCGGGTCCCGCAGCCTCGGTGTGACCCTCTAACCAGGGTACCCGGGGCTACTTGGACCCATCCGTGAAGATCCGTCACGTCCCACCCGGGCCTGGGGTCGCTCACGTCCCTCGCTCTGGTTGTAGTAAACTCGTAAGTTGTTCAAGCTGCCCCAGTAAATCTGAGCAGCGTCCTTAGCCTTGCTGGTCTCCCGGTCCCAATAATCCGGCCCCAGCTGCTTCATCCACTGCACCCGCGGCTCTGCCCTCGGCGTCGTCCCGGAGTCGCTGTCGAAGCGAAGGAACTGCGTGTCGTCCACGTAGCCCACGGAGATGAAGCGGGGCTCCTGGAGGCCGGGCCGGGACACCGCGGTGTCGAAATAACCTCAGAGAGTGGGAGCCTGGGGAGGGAAGCTGCTGAGTCCCGGTGTGACCCTCCTCCCGGCACCGGATGAGGAGTCCAGGTCGTTGGGATTGGGATGGGGCTAGGGGCTTGTGTGACTGAACTGGGGCAGCGGGACTGGAAGGCCCTGACGTAGACGGAAAGGAGGAAGCGGGAGACTAGGAACAAGGACAGAGCGTGGCTGGAATGAGGCAGGGTCTGGGAGGGTGGCGGCAGGACGCAACTACTCCAGGTCCTGTACCCCTGCCTGACGGTCCCCTCGCTCCTTCTTCTTAGAAGCGGTTGTCCTCCCGACACTGCACTTTCCCGCCCAGGTCTCGCTAAGGGTCAGCACCCCGAGAGCAGCAGAAACAGGGTTCAGGGAGCCATGACCCCGACCTGTGGGATTTAAGGAAGAATCAGTCGCTGTAGACTTTCCAGTCAGAAATCCAGGCGAGGTTCCGATTGGCTTCCCTAGAAACCCTACGTGCAATGGGAATGAGAACTGGTGCAGCATCATTAGTGTCCAGGCAGAATAACCTGGCACAGTTTGGAACCCAGGAAATGGTGCATTCTTATGCATGGCTTCCTCTTCCCAGACACTGCCCTCTGGCCTACTAAGTAACAATTAAACGTTGTAATAAATGTTATGAGATCTCTTTCAAAATAGCCAATTATATTTGTTATGGTTTAGATGTGCTGTTCCCCCAAAGCTCACTTGTGAAACAATACAAGAAGATTTGGGGGAGAAATGATTGGGTTATAGCCTTAGCCTAATCAGTAAATCAATCCCTGATGGGATTAACTGAAGTGGTAGGGTGTAGCTAGAGGAGGTGGTAATTGGGGCATGGTTTGGGGGTATATATTTGT